ATTTTCCCATGACTTGCTGCTTTCAAGGCAGCTGACCTTCTCCCAGTTAGCCACTTTCTTACAAATCTGCACAATGTGCTTTTAATTAAAACTTGCCTTTGAAACTAAGTCCAAATGAGTTATCCCTCAAAACAAAAGAGCGAAATAGGACCCATCTTCCTGGTTTTACTCTGAACCAGAGCCCGCATTTTCTATTTCCATCATAAACAACATTCCTCTTGGTGTCATCCTGCTAAAATAAAGCCGTTAGAAAGTTGGTCTCACCTGGAATAACATTGACAAGGAAGGATTCTTGCTGTGCTGAAGTCAGTCAGAAATCACGCCAGGCCCTCCTTCAAAGATGCAGAGAAAGATGGAAATGGGATCATGTTTGGCGAGGTTTTTTACTTTCTTAACCTGCCTCAAAATGTTCTGATTTTTCCCAGGAGTTTGGGGCATGAGAGTAGGGCCTTGAGCTTGTCAAATAAGGAAATAATGATGGAAAAAGAGATGGTCAAAAGAGCACCCCAGCAGTGTCTGGTAAGGGTACACTGCACTTTTCAGAGGTACTTGCAACACTTAAATGAGTCTTAAAGAAAACAGGTAATGGGACTGGAGCAGTTCCAGGAAAATGGAGGAGGTGCAAAGGATGCAAAATAAATTTGAGTGAAAAGGTGTCAAAGTGCATTAGATTCACAAACTTCCCTCTAAATGAGAAGAGAAAGAATCTAGATTATTTACCTTTCATGTTGTACACGTTTAAAAGTAGTAATGAGAGAACATCTACATAGTCCACATGAGAATCTTCAATCCCAAATGATCGGTCCCCTGGAAAGCACCAGGGTTTGTTCCCTGTCCTAAGTGAACCTTCGAGGACCTTTCTGCACGCTGAAAGCCTGCAGTGACAAATTTAATTTAACAGAAGAGGCAGGAGTTAATCTTTGGTGAAGCAGCATCATAAAGAGCAATAGACGGTGTCTGAAGAAATTTAGGGCAATTAGAGCTAAAAGGGAAATCCCTTTCCCTTTTCAATTCATTTCATTTCAATTCAATTAATTGAATTGGAACCAAAATAATTTTAGGAATAAACCCCATTGAAATATTAGGCTGTGGAATCACTCTGCCTCCACTCAGAACAATGAGGAGCTGAGCATAAGTGAAATAATATGTAGGTGGGATTTTTTGGCTAAGAGATCATATATAACCAATATTATTATATATTGCAAGATTCTAAGAGTGGAGCAGTATATTTAAGTTATTAGTGCTGGTCATTGGTATAAACATCTGAACTTCATGAGCATGGATCATGGTGAGCCACAGAAACCAACATGTGCATCCAGAGACAAATCTTTTCTCATCAGGCCCTGCTATAAGAGGGTAAAACAGTGGTGCCATTATTTTCCATGCTGTCATCTGCCAAAAAAGAAATCATCATTGCATCACTGCAGATTCAGAGAGAAGCATTTAGCCAAAAGCTCCTGAAATAGAGAATAGCACTTTGCTCAGAAAGACCTTCCCGTGTTCTTGTGAGAGATGGAAACTGAAGCTGAATCCCACATGGCAGTTGTTACAAAACCATTTTTTTCTCTTTCTTTCCTATTAAAATACTATTCCAAAACTTCACTGGTCTTTTTGTTATCAGCTCAAAGGTAGTCATGGAAAGGTCGATTCAGATTTCTTGTTCCAAATTTGGGGGGTTTTTATCTTCAAATGATCTTTCCTTTCCCTGGAATTTCTCTTCCATCTCTTATACCAGGCCAATAATTTTCCTTGAGTCTACTGGACTCAGTTTTTTGGCTACTGCATTCAGCTTTCTCCTTGCTGGCATCACACCAGTCACTCTGCCACCAGTTGTGCTACCCTCTTTCTCACTCTTTTCCAACTGCTATGTCCCATCTCACAACAGAAATGCCTGTGATCAGTCTCCAAGTATGCAATCTTACTTTTTTTTTCCTAGTAAATTCCTTTCAGCTTTCTTTTAATTCCAGTCTTCAAGGTCATGCAGCTTTCAGGACATAAAGTCCTGATTTTTCTGTTAACAGGAGATCCCCTCCAGCTTCAGGTCATTGGGAAATTGAATTAACACGGTGTCATTTTGTGCCAATTCACAAAAGAAAACATGGAACGAGCTGAGGCCAAAGCCCTATTTCCTGGGAAACTCTGCCAGTGACTTCTTCACCTGCTGTTTGCTGTCACCTCCCCGTTGCTTGGTGTCTTCTCACCAGAGTTCTGGCAGGAGATGCTGTGCCCACACTCACATAGATTGTGTAACACTTTTCCTGGAATGTCCTGTATTTTTGGACAAAGATATCAAGTTTTTCTGGCATTATCTACCGACAGCAAATGAAGCTTGAATTTTCTGTTTCGTTTGCTTCTGTGTCTTCAGAGAGCTCTGAAGGCTCCTCAAAAGTTTCACACATTCTAAAAGACAACTTTTCTGCTATGATAAAATTTTCTGTTTGGGGAAAACTCAGTTTCAGACATATCATCAACCAAAAATTTAGTGAAAATCCTTTCTTGGGTATTTTTTTGAAGACTAGAACGGAGATTATTTGAATCTTCAGCTTTGCATGAGCTTTTTTACTCCTGGGGATGCTAATTTTCTCCTTTTGTCTGGAGTTTTCTGTGTTTTCTGAGCTGACACTAAACACTTTGAAGAGGTACTCACTTAGCTCATGGCTTAAAGTTGGCTGGAAAATGACAGTTCTCCACTGATTGTGAGGCACTTAGAGATACAATAAAAAAAAAGAGCTTTGGACATGGAAATTGTTCTGTTCCTTGGTGAATCATGGTCTTTTGAAAGAGTTCTGGCTGAAGTGACTGTTAGATGGATCTGCAGTGTACCTGCTTTTAAATTTGAACTGTGCTCCATCTGTATTGATATGTGAAATAACTTCCTATTATTATGGTCCATGATGTAAAGGATTTAATAACACTTCTTTAAAAGCCTGTGTGTGGATGTCCAAACTGAGTTTCTAAGTGAAAATAACAAACGCATACCCCAGAAAAGTAAAAGAAACTGTATTATTCTTTTTGAATATCTGCATTTGTTCCCACAGCATGACAGCACTGACTGTTTTACAAGGTTATGAGCAGATCCCTATTTTTCATCACGGGGCTCAGCAGCTACAGTGTGTATTTTTAGCATGAAATAACAGATAAATATCTCATATCCAAACACATGTAAGGACTCTGACCCATTCAGGTTATGCACCTGCTGCTGTGGCATCTGCATAGCTGAAATTTGCCATTGTAGCTTTCAGTGATGTATTTTTAATTTTTCCTTCTTTCTGGGAGGCCCCACTTCATTTTGGGAGACCCTGAAGACCAGATACACTAAGGCAATCACCTTCATTAAGCACTGCACAGACTAAAGATCAAATACTTTATCTACTACCTGTTTACTCCTGCATCTGAGCTACAGCAGGTGACACAACCACAAAAATGGATGTTAATTTACTCAAATATAAAAGCAGCTTTCTTGCAAACTTGTTTTCTAGTGCAAAACCTTTATTTTAGGTGGGTGGGAGGTGAAGGGCTTCCTGTAGAAACTTTTATTATTCCCTTGCATAGATAGTTCTCCCCAGTTTTATGGCAGCTTTTACCATCTTTGAAAGCTCAATCATCAGCCATAAGGAGTCAAAAATAACTTCTAATGTCTCTTAGTTCTGCAAGTCTCCTAGAGTGAAGTTAATTTAGCCCAAGCCATTTGAAGACATTTAATGTACAAAAGAACAGCTGAGTCTCTCCCTCCCTTATCCGAGGCTGAGTCTTTCCTATGTATTACGTTGCTGCAGTACAGGACAACATGATTTAATGGCAAAATTGTTCTAAAAGTATTCTGAGAACATTTAGTCACACGTGTTTTAAAAAATATTTATACTTTTTTGTTTCAGCAGAGTTTGAAATATTGGAATTTCCTGTCTAATGTGAGAACTTCACCAGGGAAGTGATTGTTCCTCTGTGCTGGCACTGCTGAGGCACCTCCAGCCCTGGGGGCACTTCTGGGACCCTCAGACAAGAGAGACATGGAGGGGCTGGAGCAAGTGCAGGGAAAGGAATGGAGCTGGGAAGGGGCTGGAGCAGAAGGAGCAGCTGAGGGAGCCGGGGGGGCTCATCCTGGAGAAAAGGAGGCTCAGGGGGGACCTTCTGGCTCTGCAACCCCCTGACAGGAGGGGGGAGCTGGGGGGGGTCGGGCTCTGCTCCCAGGGAACAAGGGACAGGAGGAGAGGGAATGGCCTCAAGTTGTGCCAGGGGAGGGTCAGGCTGGACATCAGGAAGAATTTCTAAATGGAAAGGGTGATCAGGCATTGAAAGGGGCTGCCCAGGGTGGTAGTGGAGTCCCCACCCCTGGAGGTGTCCAAGGAATGACTGGACGTGGGACTCAGAGCTCTGGGCTGGGGGACGAGGTGGGGATCAGTCACAGGTTGGACTCGATGGTCTTGGAAGTCTTTTCCAACCTAAATTATTCTGTATTTCTCTGCTTCTGTGGTTCTACGACTTGTTCTCCTCTGTGCACCGCTAAGCACGACTAATTGACATCCAGGTACCTTCCTGATTCGGGAGTGTAGGAAAAACCCCAAGACACGAGGAAGACCATGAGCACAGGCCTGAGAAAGTGTCACAGCTGGTTTGAGACTGGTCAGTGCACACAGGTCTTTCTTCTCAGTCACTTCCAATCAAAAAGCTTCTGCATTGCATCAAAAATCACCACTGTTGTTGACCCTGTAAGCCCAAAGCCTTCATTTTTTACTATTAAATTCAGTCCTGGTGAGTATGTTATTATGAGGTGAACTTCAGTTCCCTTCAATCCACAGAAGTGAGATTGAAAAGAGAGAAAACAGATCATTATAGCATTGAATCTGTTTGAATGGAAACTTTGTCCTGACCACTCTTTGAAGTAGTGTGGTAAACACTGTGCTTTAGTCAGGGGAGGATGGTTGTATTTAATTCCTGTAATTCCTTAAATTAAATTACTGTTTAATTATACTGAGGTGGTTTTAAATTCACAGGGACAACAAACTATAAAAGATAAAAAATAAAAGGCTGAAATATGTTAAAAACAAATGCAGTCAACAGACCTGAAGATGAAATCTCAGAATCTAAAAACACAGAGGGTTGATGTTGAACTGCCTTGCTCTTCCTTTTCATCTCACACAGAAAAGTGAAATTTCTTCATTCTGAAAGAAAAATTAGAAAAGAAAAAGAAAAATAAAGACAGCCACATGATTGTCTCTTTGGAACAAGAATCATATAAAGCAGCTCTGAAATTGGAAGATTTCCTGAAACATATTGGTGCAGGTAGGGACAGTAAAGTCCTAAACTCACTTCAGACAGGGAAAAAAAATACAACCCATATGTAATATATGTAAATATTATGTGTATTTTATCATATTTCACCTAAATATGTTCAAGCAATGACCTAAATTCATGTCAACCCTATGGTTTTGGCTGTCACTGTGTGGAGATCGTGGCAGTGATCGTGAGCAGGTAGGGATAGATGCCTAGGCAGCACAATCCTTCAAAAACTGCTTTCCTTCAATTATCTCTACCATAATCAGAGCTTTTGTGTAAACCCCACTCTTCCCTGCAAAAAAAGATTGGTTAAACATCAGCAAAGGCATGTGGAAGGGAAAGAAACATGAAGCTTGTAATTAAATCTGACAGAAAGTAAAACTAAAAGCTTCCACCATACACTGTTAATAAGGAAATGTTTAAATGAACAGTCAGGTGTGGTGAGGAGCTGAGAAGTGATGCAGTAAATGAGAAAAAGATCTGCAAGGTGGGAGAGAAACATAATGCAATTCTCGAGAACAAGGAAAAACCTAAGGGATTTTTTCCATTTATTGCAGAAGAATCTGGATCAGACAGTGCAGCAGCTCAGGAGCTCATCTTCTGCATTGCTTTGGTATTTCAGAAATGCCACGTAAGCCAAGTACTTAATGTGGTTATGGTCAGTTCTGTTCAAAAGCAGGTCTGGAGTTTACATGACCAAAACACTCCTAACTCAGAATATTTCGTGAAATATCTGCACCGAAGAAATGAAAATTGGATCTCAAGCCACAGGGCTGGAGGACAGGGAAGCCATGAGAACTCATTAGCTTCTGTCCTCACAGTGAGTATCTCTTTCCAGCAATATCCCATATTAACAAAATTTACCCAGTGAAATTTTGGATTATGTTTGCCTTTATTATTGAGAAAAAAGAATATAATCTATCCTGAAGGTCGGCTATGCTCACCAAGCTTGTAGCTACAAAATTTTAACCCTTGGCTCTACACTTGATCTTTCTGTCTCTGTGAACCTCAGACCACAGGCAGAAGTGAAGGAAATAGCAACTGATAATGCCAGAATGCAGAAATATATTTCACAATAATACAAAGGAATTCACCATGGTATAAACTGATACTGAGGTGTCACCCTGTAAATAACACTTCTAAATGCTCTTGTTCCCTTAGTTTCACACATAAGCTGATTACTGTTAGTGTTGTGAGTGAAGAGGTCAAAGGAGCTCTGCTGTTTCCATTTCATCCTGGATCCCTGCTCTGTGATTTAGTAATATTTGCACAAATGATAAAGTGCTAAATATGCATTTTACTTCTCCCCCTTCAGAACTAGTATCAAACGTAGTTTAATATCTCAAACAACTATTGCATGTCTGAGAGTCACATCAGATGTTTCACTTACCCACATCTGCTGAAGACCATCCGGGGTCAATCTTGATGTGTGAGCCAGTGACCAGAAAAATCTTCCAGGATCTTGTCAGTCTTGAATTCTGTAATTATTTGTACACAGTGCAGGAAAGGGAGTATTTTATGATATTGCCTATCTACATAGTATTTATTAGATGAAATATGGCATCAAAATTATAGCACTCTGCCACACTCAATGCGATATTTGATGAGTTTAGTACTGGCATAATTAAGTCCTCGATGATAAGTTAAGATTGGCAACTCTTGTTGGCATGAAAGGCAAAAGGAGAGTTTTTGCTGGTGGTTCAGTGGAGAATATATCTGTCCTCCAAAGGAAGTAAAAAAAAAAAGGACAAATTAAAAAGAGGATAATAAAGTTGCTACTATTGGCATATCTCTGAATATTTAATATTAATGAAGTTAGTTAGACCAAATTCAAAGATAGTAAAAGTATGTGATATGAAGACAAGTTACTATATGTCTATTTTAGACTTCACATTTTGTAGAAAAAAAGCTATTTTATGAAATGAAGTGTCACTAAAATAGCAGTTATTTAAGTAATTCTTTTTTTTTAATTCTCCAAAGTTGAGAATATCACCGTAGTTTCTACTCTACCCGCTCAAAATTCCCCTGGAGTTACCACTTTTTATGACTTTAGATGACTAAATGTTCTACTGCACACCCTTTAAATTTGAGGTTAAGGAGCAGCTTGCACCAAAACAATGTATCGCCAGAACTCTATCTCGTTTTCACACGCTTAATTTCAAATCTCAGACACCCTGCAGCATCTTGTCTGGCTGCGTGAGTCACCGGGGCCGGTGTCTGAGGTGTCCTGGTGCATCTCTAATGGCTCTGCACATCTGTGTTTACCCAGCAGCTGCTCCTTGGGTGGTTTTTCTGGGTGAACTGGGGCAAACCTCTCGGGGGATGCTTTTCGTGCTGCTCGGCAGCGGGATGGATGTCTGTGACATGTCAGGTGTGTGTGTCAGCTTTTGGCAGGCAGAGAAGTTCCCCCTGGCCCTCGGTTTATGAGGAGGATCCCCAGATCCTGGGGTTTCAGGGAAGTAAACATATCTAGTGTAGGGCTGCTCTGTTTGCTTGGCATGGCAAGCAGGTGAGGAGCAGTGGGATACTGAAGGAATGTGGGTGTTCCCTTAGGCAAAGGATTTCTGTGAATCACAGATGTGCTGCCGGTGTGGGGAACCCTGCGATCCTGGTGACAGCAAACCTGTTCCCCTGTGCTCCTTCAGGGGGTTGGTGTTTTTCTCTGACCAGTTTAAGCCCCCTCTTCACGCTCACTGTGTCCAACTCACTCCACTGCACGGCATCTTCACTCCTGATCTTCTTGGCTGTGAAGGGGGTTCAGTCATGCACAGCTCATCTGTGCTTCGGGAAAGAGAAGAGTGGCCTTTGCAAAAAGAAAAAGAAAATACATTTCCAGGATGAATGCTTATGGATAGTCCAAATAATTCATTACACACAAAAAGTTAACAAAAAATGCCATAATGTTCTCTTCAAGAGACACAATGTCAGCGCAGGTACTGTTAAAAAGAACCAGCACCACTGAATCCAGAGAATTGTTATGACAACTTGTTTACCAACATTTTCCTTGATTGGTTTTCTGGTATTGTTCTTGGCTCAAATCTGGGAATTTTGCTCAGGCAAAATCCCTGTTGAACTCAATAGCTTCTTGCTAGCAAGGATTTGGAAAGGCAAATCCCCAAAGATGTCATTTGTTGCCTTTCCATGAGGAATATTTATTGTATGTAATGAATGAAACTATGGACTTCTGTGAGGTTTTCCATTTACATTTTTTAAAGATTAATTGATTTAATTTGATTTATATCTATGAGGGAAGGCTGTTAAACAATTCCATAAACTGGTACTGATAATTGAATATATAAATTACATTCATTAAAACTGCTGAGGGTTCCAAATCTTTGTGACTTCACTTACACTAGCTAATTCAATGAAGAATTAATTGAGGCAATACATTCTTCAATAGTAGAGAGGCAATAGATTCTTCACTTGATTCCACTCAATTTTCATGAGCTTTGCTTAAGCAGTCAAGGCAAATTTATTACATGGAAGGTGAGTAAATAACTGACTTTAATACTGTACATAAGAGTTCATTTTTTTCTCAGTCAAGCCTTGATATTTTCTGTCCTTGCCTGTTCATGCAGGCAGAATTCAACAACTTCTTAAGAAAAGATTCAAAGACCAGGGACAACAACAGTCAGAATTACTTATTTCCCCCTCTGTCCTAATTTTAGCTGTCATGATTTTTAAGACTATTCTGGGTTTTAAACCTTGCCCTCCCTCCCTGTGTTCCCTGCTCTCCTCTCACACTGGGAAACCACCACTTCAACAGCACTTAGCCTTGGCAACAGGAGAGAGCTTTGAAATGCTGCAAGACTGGGAACAAAGAATCTGAATTTTCGTCAAAGTTTACGTGATGGAGGACAATTACACCGGAACTCAACCTGCATAACTTTCATCAAAAGGCAGGAAGGGATGTCATTCATAAAAATCCCCCAACTCCCTATTCTTAAACCCCAGTTTAAGACACAACATTTCGTGGTAACACATCTTTTTATAGCAACAAGAATAAAAAAAGCCAAGGTGAATGGATGTCTGTTAGCAAAGCAGGGGGATGTTCTCTGAGGCCTGATAAAGAGTCAGATAAAGAGTCCACTTTAGCACAGCTTTCCTGGACACATTCAGCATGAGAAATGGTGCAAAAATTTCCATGCCACATCCAGCAGCTGTGTTCAGTGGTTAGTTATGAAGGGTGCAGCTCCTGTCCTCCCAGAAATCAGCTGTACCCCATCTCCACGTTGAAATCCCTTCTGTTGTCTCCACGATCCTTCTGTTTCTGACCAGAGGAAGGTTCAGATGGAGTTGTAGTTTCCAGTGTGCTCCTGTCTCCTGCATTACACTTAAAATTTTCTTATTGGCTCCTCAAAAGTATTCCCAAGACTGTCCCATTGCTCCATCCTGTGCAAGTCTAGACTTACACTTTCTCATTCAAAGTCACCAGTTCTGACTTGGCAAAAACACAGAATCACAGAATCATGGAATTATAAAATGGTTTGAGCTGGGAGGGACCTTCATGATCATCGAGCTCCAACTCCCCTGCTATGGGCAGGGACACATTACCTTGGACCAGGTGGCTCAAAGCACAGTGGGCCATGGACTCAGCTAAGGCATGGGACAACTGGCCTCTTTGTCTCCTCCTCTAACCCAAGAGCACCCATTTCCCACTAGATGGTGGATTTTGGGAAGGGTGGTCACTGTTCACAGAACAGCCTGTTTCACAAATGGAAATTGGAAAAGCATGAGACCTGAAGGGAAGTGGTAAGAGCAAATCTGACGTCTTCCCTGCGTATCAGAGATCCTAATATTGTATTTTAAACAACAGTGTTACAGATTAGGCAGAACAAGTCATACATCCTTCTGGATTTAGGGACAAAATTCTTGATTTTTGGTGCCATCAGATGAGTGACTTAAGCTGAAAACAAGACCTGCCCTGACATCCCCACAAGCATGAAAAGGACGGAATGACTGGCTGTCTTTGATTCCAGGGTGCTACTTCCCAAATAAAACCCCACTTCTCTTGTTTCAAAACAAAATTCTGATGTTTCAACTGGTTTCCAGAGTCTGAGTGAAAACTCGGCATGAAAACAGATTCCCAAAACTTTGTGATTTCACCAGGAAGGCGTTGCTGTTTGTACTTTAGCATCACTGACTACGTGGATGACTTCAGAAAGACTTAAACTTCATTAAAGGCAGGGAGGAAAGCTTCGGTTTTTTGTGTTAAAGTCCAGGCTGACTGTCTTGTGCTTGTTCAGAATTCCAGTCAGGCTGGGACAGCAGCTTTGCTCCACTGTGTTTTACTGTGTCATGACTCTGAAATGTAACTTTATGTCCTTAATTATGCACGGTTTTAGTGCATTTTGATAATATCCTGTGACCTGCCTTTTCAACTATTAAATAGTTCAGAACCCTTTTTTCCCCACCTGTTTCCTGAGGACCAGGAATGTGGGCAGACAGCACCCTCTGCAGTGTACGATGGGGAAATGAGAGCTTGATTCCTGCCAGTGCTTTCACTTGTGCTGTACCAAATCCTGCTCAGAGCACTCTTCCACACTCTGCTTTCAGTGGACAAGAGAAACAATGGAGTTTGGAGCTGGTGTGAAAGCTGAGAGAGGCTATATCAGGATATCTTGAAGCATGTGTGGTATGGCAGGGGAGATGGTGGCTAATTTGATTTCAAAATACCCAAATATTTATGGCACATGCTGTCTCAGGTGTTACTGCCTCCTTTCCCCCTAGGCCATTATCTCTTGTTTGCAAATACAACAATGTCTTGTGCTACAGATGTGACATTTAAGAAGGATTTTTTTATGAGTTGCAGGGTTTTTTTATGTGCAATGTGTTAAAGGGATCACAGTGAAAGGACACATCTCTCATTGCAGACTTGGAGTCTGATCCTGACTCCAGGCAAACCTGTGTTGGCACCACTGTGTCACCCCTGTAGTTCAGTCATATTTCCTACCAACAGGGAGTAGAAAATCCCCACTTTCCTGGAAGTGTCCAAGGCCAGGTTGGATGGGGCTTGGAGCAACCTGGGCTACTGGAAGGTGTCCCTGCCCATGGCAGGGATTGGAATGAGATGATCTTTAAGGTCCCTTCCAACCTAAATCATTCTATGGCTCTATGATTCTATGACTCTATGTTAGATCATGAGAAAATCTGAAAAACTTATACAATAAATGCTATTTTTTGCTCTTTGTGGAATGTTTTGGCTCCCAGATCTCTTCCAGGACCTTTTTCAGGCTTTCCAAACTACTCTGTTTTTAAAGTCATAGAGATGTCTAACTTCATTGAGGTGAGGACAGTCATGGTCAAAATTAGATTAATAATGGTTTCATCTGGTGGTTTTTTTTTTTTAATTGTGGAGTGCTAGCACTTCCTTATCAGTTAAAGCATGTTGGAAATGTGGGTTATTCCTCTTTGAGCTGAAGTTTGGTTGAACAGTAGGAAATTGAAACAAATGTGATTAATGTCCCTCACTTTATATAGTCATATATAAAATTTCATGGTTTGGTGGTTTTGATTCAAGTTGTTACCTGACACACAGAATAAAAAGATTTCTTCACTCCCAGTGTTTCTCCTCACTCTACCCAAAAGTTCATAAGACTGTCCATCCCAGATGACACCAAAGGAGTACATAGGAAAACATCCCACCCTTGAACATGGTGTGTGAAGGGAGTTGCAGGAGGTAAATGACGAATAGGGAAATTCAATTCAGAGAAATTACTCCTCCAACTTTGCAAGCTTCTGAACAATTTGATATTTAAAGCATCAATTTAACATGTTATGGTCAACAAATGACAAAAATCAACTAGAGGTTTGGTTGGTTGGTTGGTTTTGGTTTATTTGTTTGGGGTTGGTTTTATTTTCTTCCTGGTGTTGGTTGAACAAATCCAGAGTGATCAAGCAAATTTTTACAGTCTTTCACTTACATAGCTTGATATGATACTTGAAAAGACTGAGGGCTGCTGGTGTGCACTTCAAGACACTCACAAGACACGTATTTGCAAACACTGTAAATTCTTCTTCATCACATTGTAATGAAGAATCTGCTTTTTAGTTGACTAAAAATATCTCAATGTTCATAACTAATGGTGGAGGGAATTAACTGGATTTCATCATGCTTTCAGTTTCTGAATTACAGGCACCATTGCTTTAGGATGATCACACTTAAGCTTATTCTAGATAAGATGTGGCTGAAGGCTGCTGTAAGGTCAAGGAATGGTCCTGACTTACTTGGAATCATGTCGGGATGGAGAAAGTGGTGCCACTCTACATCACTTGGAAGGAAAAAGCCTCCAAGGAAAATCATAAAGAAATCTTGTTCTCTTACTCCAGAAACAGGTAAAAGCAAAGTTCTTACCCTGGTTTTGCTCTGATGAGTCATTGTAAAGAAAAAGAAATACCATTTGCATATTAAAAGTGAAAAACAGCACCTGGTACAATTTTTCCAGGATGCTTAGACTTGCAAATACTGCTGATAGACAAGAGGAAAGCATCATGTGCAAATTTCAAGAGCAGGCTACTGAGGGGCTTCTGCTTAAAATCCTCTTTCAGGTGAATTTTAGAATCTAAAATAGTGCTAATGATGTTGACCTCCTTTACAAAGTGTTTAGTGATTTTCTGAAGAAAAGGAATATATAAGCTACATTGTTGTTGTTATTATTATTATTATAAATTATTCATCTTATTCTATACTTACTGAGTACATCAAATGACTACTAAAGTCAGGATTTTGGCCTTTAATTCTCTATATAATATATATAATATATATTTCTATATAATAGATATTA